AAAGACGAGGACAGGGACAGGAGCGGAAGACAGAAGGCAGACAAGCGCTAACTCACCACTCAAACGTATTGGACACCTTACCCGTAACAAGAAAGATTATGGATAAGATATAGAGGAACATAAAAGAACACACCTGCTAAAGTAAGTAGATGGATAAGATCGATTAGATTGCATTGGACTCTAATTACATTAGATGTACAAACATTTCATTTGAGAAATGAAGTACCACTCAAATCAAAATATTATCAAGATCGAATTGTAAGGTGAATACATCGGGCTAAGTCGGATATTTATCCGCATAAAACACAATCATCAGCGAAATCTCAATCATGTGGTAATAGAATCAGAAACGTATATGAGGAAAAGAAGGGGTCATAGTGCTGATCCTTGAAGAACACCTGACGGTACTGAAAAATATTGAAATATATTAATTAGCTGACTTATTGGAAGCGACCGTGGAAGAAACCCCCAATCCAATTTAAGGCATTACAATATAGGTTAGGTTTGCTAGGCCTTCGAATTAGTAGTTGATGTGGCATAGTAATAAAGTTTTCAAAGGATTCAAGAGGAATACAGTAAACTTGCGATGAACGGTCCAAATTACAAGAAACCACTTATAAGTGGCAGGCCATAAATATCATATCGATATCTTAATTTGTAGGTAGCATATTCATTTTCAAGCGACTATGTGCAGTAAGAGAAACGCATATATTTCGGAGTGTCCCCTGCGTCTTTCCTGAGTACAGCATTGCTGAGGGGAACTTGACGGCAGAGAATATACTGCGGATATGATGTCGTCATAGACTATAATTTGAGTGCTGTGTAAGCCTTCATGGCGTGAAGTTTTCCTCAGTGGGGGGACGCTGCCAGCCCGAGCTCAACAGCCACACACACAGCTGTTGAAGCTGGAACACTTGTGCAAAAGATCAACGAGCATTGTAGCAATACCGCAATGCGTAAAAGTAATGTTCTTAACAAGCGTGTTGGAAAAGAATACTAGAGAACAGAAAGAATAAAAATAGAGAGACACTCGTCGATTTTTAATCCTCTTTATGGCTTATTCTTTCTGTTATCTAGTCGAAAAAGCAATTCCACGCTATTTTCACAAAAACGAACATGAACATAATTTTTTGTTTCTTCTTTTCCTGCAGATACCGGTTACTTACAGGTCTGTTCATATGTCCACATTTCCAACAAAGTGTCCTTGTAGACGAATGACTTGCACCTTGTCAGGCCATACCAGCACACCCAAGGGCCTGACAATTCTTACCACGCGACAAAAAGTCGGCCAAACCTGATCAGAAACCTGCCAATCATGGCCTCGCATGGATGCACCCGACACAGCGATGGACCGGTGCGAGATCGAGTTCCACCGTCTTTCGGACACATCGTAGGACCTGTCAGACGTTTAGTTGCGTAGGGGTGTCGCTAAACCAAGCCCCAATAAGTTAATGGCATAAAAAAAAAGTTGCGAGGATGTTATTTTGCGGTCAGTGAAAAAGCAGCCGTTCAGGCGTGGGAATGGGGCTTTCCCAAAAAGTGGTCCCAGAAGCTCAGGGAGAGGTCGCTACATTGATGGTGCAGGGGCATTTGGCTCAGGGGAAGCTGTAGATACGTTGCACATGTGTACAGACTTCTAACTAACCGGTATCTGCAGCGCAAAAAAAAAAAAAGATGTAACTCAATATGGTACGCTCCTTGTATTTGGATTGGAGGCCCTACCAACCAAGTGTTGCTTTGATAAAAGCATATCTGCATGCGATTAATTCACTTGAAATATCCAAGTATGTGTGTATATGTACGTGTGTGGCTGCCTGCACGCGTGCGTGTAGTATGTGTATTTTTGTGTGCGTGCTAGCGTGTGGGTATGTGTCTGTGGGTGGGTCTTTGTCTACGTGTCTCTTTTCAAGTTGCTATTTTCACCCAATGTTCAGTTGCTGTTTTTTTCCCGCACCTGTTCCTTCCTCTAGGTTCAGCGAACTTATCCACCGCAAAAGCAAGGAAACGGCGCTCGGGATTGGAGGGGAGAATATAGTGCATAGATATCATATGCACAGGAAGGATCGCCGAATAAACCAAAACATGCTCGCCATGCAGACGAACCGAATAGTGGTAACATTTCAAATGCTGAAGTGGTGGTGCAACGATTTTTTGAACTTTGCGTAAATACCACTTACATGAGTTCGCGGTATTTGTAAACTATGATGCACCGAATTTTTCTTTTCTCCTTGCGCAAATGTTGCCGCAAAAAAGAATTATGAAAAACGGGATACGTTCTTCTCCTCAACTGGCAGCCCGAACAGGCGTGTTTCTAACATTGTTATCGTTTGGCTTTCGTTGTCATCGAAGGAATTAGGTACGAGCCGCTAACCGAATATGCTCGTCGAGCTAATGATTTTATTATCGCTAGCACAAATCGTGTGATCACACAATTTGGGGTCGCGTTAGACTTGCGCCCGTAAGTTGAGACTCCAACCAAAGCTATGAGCGGAGCACTCATTCTGCGGACGAACGTTTTAAACCAGACGTCTCATACTCCCTAATTTTGCTAAATGCTTACCAGAAACCCTCGCTAATATTAATAAGCGAATGAACTTGCCTTATAGTTTTTCTTTGTTAGCAATGGCAGTCGGCAAATAAATTCGAGAAATATGAGCATCGGTCATCCCCTCGACTCGGAGCGGGAACAAGCGGCAGGTGGCTTGGTTTCGGGTGGGCAAAGAAGAAAACGCGTGCTAAGCTCGGGGAATCGTTAGAGTTCGGCTATTCTCATCACCGCAGTGGCTGGACACAAGCCACCACCGGGGTATCCGCCGAGGCATTGATTGTTTAGAGCCGAAATCAAGTGCTCCCGCAGTTCTCGTGTCCAAACCATGAGGCGGGCTCGACTGCCATCACGCGGGTCGTTTCGATCTCCCCAATTATGTCCTCAAGTCTTCTTTTATTCTCGCAATTTCATCGCGACCAAGAAGCTTCTGAATCTGAGGCGGTCTGCCCGAGTATACTTGGGCCAGACTAGGACCAGTACGCCTTTATAAAGTAACGAACATTCTAACCCGATATCTTTTCATTACCCCTTTAAAGGGCCCCTGAAAAGAAAAGAAAGAAGTTTTTTTTTTAAAAGTCTGGTTGGGACACGCGTGTCAAAAAATAAATTCTACGCGAAAACAAAATTTTTAGAGCAATATTGACGGCGAGTTACTTATTTGAAATTCTGCACGCCAAGTCCACGAAGTCAAGGGTCATTCCGGAATGACCATCTCGGTCGTGAAGGCGGAACCGATCGCCCTCTCCTCTATGCGCCCGAAATGCCGAGAGAGAAAACAAGTGGAAAGGAGGTGACTGCCGACTAAATCACGTCTCTCGCCGTCAATATTGCTCTAATTGTTTTTTTGCGTTTTTTTTTTTTTGACGTGCGTGTTTCAATTAGATTGTTAAAAAGTCACATTTCTTTTTGGGAGCCTTTTTAGGCTGAACAGGGACTATAAGCCGCATTCTAATGTCGTCACTGTGACACTATATATCAACACTGGGGGACACTGCGACCTTCAAGCTACGTCATCGCATCGCGCCGAAAATGGATCGAAAAAAGAAACGCCCCATTTCAATTTTGGTAGTTACGCTGCGACAAAAAGATTTCTTTGTCAATGGAGTTGGGTTCGAAAATACTGGGGTCCCACTAGCGCCGCTACGGTCATGGCCACAACAAGATGTCACGTTTTCAAATTGCCGGTTCGTCCGTACCATTACTGCCCATCAAGTCATGCGCGCCTTGTTTCCCAGTGCTCGCAATGAATTTACAAAGAACTAGCGTATTTATTGTCTCTAAATCGCAACAATGGTGTTGTTAAAATTACGACGGGAATAAGTTGAGCTATACTCGTTTTCCCCTCAAGAACACCAGCACTCAAATTACGGCTCCTAGCGGTACATTGTAATTTGTACACTTTTTGTAGAGGATAGATATACATGTAGGCGTATTTTAGATTAGATATATGCTATCTTATCGAGACGTAGTACGTGTTTCCGACGCGAAATGCATCACTTCTTCCTCCGACAACCAGATAAAGTAAAAACAACATCGCGCCGTGTATGAACAATGCACAAAACTTCCTTTTTTTACTTGATGCGAAAACGCGTATAGTTGGTTAAAAATATCGAATGAAACCGGTTGAACGTAAATAATAAAAGATAAAGTAGATAATGGCTCTTTTCTTTAATTCCTTTTATCAGGCATTTTTATTCTCGGCTGGTTCCATCCTATGAGATAAAACTATCGTGCCATGTGCATGGCGCTGTTGGCAACATGCACGTTCGATCCGTGTTACTCCGGCTGTCGCACAGAGTATAGGGGTCGAACCCGGTACAGCCCGGTTTCGTATTTCTAATTCTATTTTTAGAATCTGTACTTTTTGCAAAGTTTCAGCTCATTGTCGGCTGTCAGTCCGTGTTTTCTTTCGGAATATTTCTGAGCGTATGACGTTCGTAAAAGCAGCTGTAACGCGCTGCTTCAGGAAGGTCGGCTTTCCGCCGCAGACGCCAGGACGCGTACTACTTACTTTATTTGTACGCTTCTAGGCACTAATTCGCCTCTTAAATATTAAGCGCTCCATTACCCTATCATTTTTTTATCTGTGACAGCATTCGGCGTTCAGTACCCTAAAAATTTACATATTTTTTTTTTTTTTTAAATAGTGGGGAAACATTTTTGTTATGTTCACTTGTTTGTCAGATTTTCGGTTTCGTTTCTGTGCACATGTGTCCCGTCCTTAACCGGATGAACTGGATGTTAATGCGTTTTTGCTCCATGCTCCATTTTGTCCAGATGCGCCAGAGACAGACATAGGAGAGGAGGTTCAAGCATTCCACGAGCAGACACAACCAAACGAGCATGAGAGAGAAACGAGAGAGAGAGAGAGAATAGTTCGGAGCGAAGAGATAAAGAACGCCGTTCTGCTTAGTCACGTGATCACGGAGCCGAAGCCGGTGACCCACAGATAACAACTAGTTCGTCGAAGCAGCTCAATCTGCTCTTGAAGTAAGGCAGATATCAGACAAGAACCCAACGCGCGTACTGAAGGCACCGAGTTGTAAACAGGCTCGCAGAGTCGCTAATATCGCTGCGGTTTTTCTTTTTTAAACAACCGCCTGGACATTGCCAGGAAACATGGCTTCTAACAGCACAAGCAGTGCGCCGACCAAGGGCTCGGGGGCGACCGGCGACGATGTCGTGGTGACGGTGGACGACATTCGGCGTCTCGGCATCGCCAACTTGGATCCGATTCCGGAGGACTACTACGACAGCGGGGCGGACCAGGAGCAGACGCTCCGAGAAAACAGACTGGCCTATCTCAGGTATAGACTAACACACCGTTTGCCCGCACTATACTCGTATTCACCACTAGAACCGTAGTAAAAAGAAAATCCAGTTCCTCGTTGAGCGTTAGCAATAGCTATTTTTATGTGATGAATTAAGGTGTCTGTAGATGCATCTGAGAATAGCTGTCTGTTGTTGATCATGATTTACACTTTCCAAACGCCAAACGCACCGTCTCTTTGTTCTGAAACCAAAATCTTGTAAGAACTATTTCGCGTGGCGTATGAACTTTGTGTAAAAAGTGCTCGTGTCTTGGTGTAACAAGTATAGGCGTGAGTATTGCACGCGCGCAACAACCACATTCGTGTGAGATGATCCGTCTGCACGCGCGCCGTGCCGAGAGCAGCGCCAGCTGCGGCGTGATGTTGATGTATTGATGTCGATCTACGGACCCTTTTTTAAAAAGTGCTGCGAGAAGACGTTGTTTCCCTTTTACCCCCTCCCCCGGAACTTGCTCTCAAGTGGGAGGACAAACCGTTGCCGCCAGAGCACCGCTCCTCCCAGCGTTTATGCCATATATCCTCACCAATAGACCAGATACAAAAAAGAAGCAGATGATTGGTTATCAAGTTTTCACCACATTGCGGGAAATTTAAATTTTCGCCCCAGAGACACTGGCCTCGGCGAAGCTAGGGGTCGTAGATTTAAAATATGGTCAGTTATTGTCTACCTGCATCAAATATGATCGTTCTTTAAACAGAAAGAAAACCAACATCCACAAATAAATGGCACTCGAGTGGCAGCCGACCCCCGCGGCCATTAGATAGCGACTACGGCTCTGTCAAAGCCACCCAATCTGCTCTTTAGACTGAACTAGACCGGCCTTTTTCAAGCACAGACTAAAACGCTTTTTTACGAAAAAGTCTGTGTTTGCCCCACAAATCTTGAATTCATTCAAAAACCGTAGTAAAAAAAAAAAAAGCAGGCCCCTTGCGGAGCACGACTAACTTCCCCCATATGCTGACTTATATCAACCAGATCTGCACGTTTTATGTAAAAGAACTTCCCGCGACAATCAAATCTGTTAGTGAGATATTTTTTGGATATTTTAAGAGTCCTAAAAGATGACCAATCCCCATTTATGTATTGTATACCGCAGCATAAAGAACTTCATAAATGTCCAACTTCGAAATTTCTTTTGCACTTTATTGTCCCATAACTTGTGACATAAACATCGTCGAGAGGTTTTCCAAAGCGCAGTGACCGGAAGTCCTTGGCGAGGCGAGAGACTGCCAGTGCTTGAAAACATCAGTGTCTTTAGGCTGCATTCTCTCAGCTAGGTAGCGCTGGAGCATGCCCAACACACCACCATAAACGCAACACTGCTGCCTCTGCCAGCGTTGGCCGGACGTGATTCTTTCATTCTTACATAATGCGGCGTTTTATCGTCTGATCAAGCACGTCTACCACCGTCCGTTCACGCGCACAAACAAAACGTTCCAAAAGCTCGGAAATATATCTTTAAATCAACGAAAGAATACTGCAGCTCGCGACTTCGGCGTCCTATCGAAATGTCGCAATGACTTAATTTTAACTTTCTTTCTTATTCGTTTCAATAAATTTATATCATCAAGTCGGTGCATGGGGACGCGCAAGCACAAAACGGCCTAAAAATGTCGTATTTCGCACTACGAAGGCACTGCTTATAATTTGAGATCTGCAGGGCTGTAGAGGCGAGGTTGCCATACACTTCATACAGTGCTTATGTCGCTGTACCAGTGTCGCCTCATCCTGGCAGACCAACCTTACACTGTATAAACACTAAACGTCCAATTTGACTTTGATTTGATTTGACTTATCACTAAGGCAGAAAATGCCGAGTGACTGGGCCCTGGAGGCATGCACCACCTCAAATATTTCGTAGAAGACAGCGTTCTAGAGTCGAGCATACAACTATGATAACGGAAAGTCAATTATTGGAACGGCCCATTTTGGGAGCGTGCATCATCTAGAGGGCTCTCTGCGTCTGCTCCTGCCAGCGATCGTGTTTATCGATCTCGCTCCGGAGCTTGTAAAGGTTTCGCACGTTGACATTCGAAAACCTACTCGTTTCTAGCGTTATGGATGTGATTTCGGTCCTTCTACTCGCAGGTGTTGCTCAAAGCTAGCATTTAATCATGTCCTCCGCAGTTTGAAGCGGCAAGGACCACTGCACCATGTTCTTTTTTTGTTTGTTTTTAATCTTTGTTAATAGGGTTTTTACGTAGCGCTTGTGTTCGACGGTCTGGAAACCACTATGGAACGACATTCAGCTGTGCCAGTAAATGTTGAAGAATATACGTCCTAACGTTTGCCTTCCCTTATTATCAGATTGCTGCTCACTCACTGGCGGATCCTGTAGATTTGTATTTATTTACAAAACAAATAAGCATCACCTTTAGGCATTATTTGAGGGGTTGGGTATCAGAAAAAACAAAAATGCATGCATCGGTGAAAAAATTCTACAAAAACATTATTTATAAACACAACCAGTACAAAATAAAACAATATATATAAAGCTACTAGGGTACAGATGATACTTTTTTTCAACAAAGCTGGAACATTAAGAATATTATTCATGAAACATATGTTAACAAAAAAATCTATATAAAACACAGTTCTCAAACCTTGTCGGGAAGATATCATTTGGCGACCTATATGCTGCTCATAAATTGTGCTTCAAAAAGGAAAAAAAGTAAGCGAAAACATTATCTGAAATGAGTAGGGTCGGATTTCGTTTGGGTGTTCAGCTCTTCTCGACGTATACAATAGTAGGTGTAAAAACGTATTTTTATTCATTAATAGTTTATTCCGGTATATATGACCTAAACAATTCAACCTGAAAGATTGTCTACGTTTGCCAGTAACTCCCAATGTAGGATTTCTTTCACGACGACGACACTCGCTCCGAATTCGTAATTATGTAACATAAATCAGGCACGTTGGTTTTGTACCTCTTCAGGTGTATATATTAAACATTTATGCTGGATATCCCATTTAACCGACGCGTATTCCATACATAGACAAGTAAGTGAAAAATATAGTTTACTTAATTCTGCTTGAACGCTACCTAGGAGGTTGACGTATAAAATTATGCACGCGCAGATTTTTTAGGTCAATAATTTAAACATGATTCTACAAATGTAAATATTCAAAAAGCTTAACTCTGAAGTTTATTGTACGTTTAAGCTAAACCTAATGATTTATTATTTGCAATGTAACAAGGAAAGTTTTTTTTTAGTAAATATTATGTGTGTGCATATTTTGTACGTCTGTGTTAATCCTCCAGTTGTCACACACTACAGAAATTTTGTCTAGGTCACTCTCTAAAATCCTAATATCTTCGGAATCAACGATTCATTCATAAATATTGCAGTCATTTGAAAAGAGTCAATAAGTCCATAACTTTCCATACAGTTCTTTTGCTCTGGGATTTAAACAATCCTGCCTGTTTTTACCCCATTGCATGGTGTTCTCTATTTCAAGGTCTATTAATTATAAAAAAAAGAGAAGTTCGCGGCCACTCTTACTTTGAACCTTTTGTATAACCATTATATCATCGGTGTGCTTGGCTATCATTAACATTAATTTGAAACTATAATTCGTATCAGTTTATGTTCAGACGAAGTGGACGCTACCAGGTAATGGGACGAACAAATCACCGTGAAAAGCGCAAGTCACTACGCATTTTTTTGTTTATTATTGATAGATGATAGAACACTCACAGATACAAGACGCTACACCATGATAGAGCGCTTTTGACGCAGCCTGATTTGGTCCAATCAGCTCGTAGTACCGGCTACGTCTCGGCTTAAGGTGATACAAAGTATAAGGACGGCTGTTACTTGCAATATAAGCGAAACGCTCCTGCCAGGAGCCGCACCGTGGCGTTACCGTTTTGTTGCGCGCTTCCGGAAGCCATCGAGAGCTTCAGAATATCAGGGCGTGGTGAGCACCAAACATAGTAATATTGATCCGTAGCCAGTGAGATTGCTGCGTCAGTGAATAATAACTCGAAAAAGCGAATGACTGAGCCAGAAGCGTTAGCATTATACTTCATAAGCCACTCCCTGTGATGGTCGAACTGTCCGTGACTATGTGGAGGTCACGTTCGTCTGCTTCTTGCACAGGGGTTGCGATGATGGCAGAACGCCGAGCTCGTATTAGCTGATTTAAAAACGATTAGCATGTAGACCTCAAGGCCTTTAGAATTTAGGTCTAGCCACTATCCTATCAGTCAAAGCGAACCAGAGCTCGGCGTCATTCTGATGTCACCGCAGCACCTGCGCAAGAAGCAGACAACTCGTTCTCCGCGTAGCGTTCCAACATGCATATTTTAAAAGCATTTCGAGTGCCAACAGACGGCGATGTTTTGTGTCCGTCTGTCGTTTGTCGCGACTCATAAACTAAACTTAGCGGAAAAACCCGAGTTGCTGTATAATAAACTCTTTTCATGGGCCCTTTGAGCGACAATGGCAGCCGCCATCACTTGGAACGTAGCGTGTGATTGGATCACCCGAACAGTGACGCAGTGCTCGTTTTCGACCCAAGCGGAGCGGAGTTCCACCCCGAACGCTGACGGAGTCTTCGTGTCCTTCAGATGCTCAGAATACGTGCCGTACAAATCGCTAACTCAGATAGGTGGCTCATGAAGCTATATATATACTCTGTTGGCCCCGAAGCTGAATCTGGGGTGGGAGCTATGTGCCCGCTGGACCCATAAGCCTTTCATCACCTGAACAAGCTCTGTGTTCGTGATAATGGGCGGGAGCGTGACCAAGTGACGAAGGAGGGGCCAATGAATCGTATAACGTGAACGTAGCTTCCACCGCAGTCTCAGCTTAGAAGCGAACGGAGTATAGATGGCGCGCATTTTTAAGAGGGTCAAGAATACACTCTTGAAATTTCCTAGCTAAACTTGGCGGGAAAACGTGATTTCGCCTGTAATTATACACCTATTCAATTGAGGGAGAATTGGCGCGAAATTTGAGCCGCGCAG